TCAGAAGAAGGGATTAACTCTCAATCCTATCACCAGTTTATATTACATAGCTCCATGCAGGTAGTTTTCTTCAATCTTGTAAGGTTGACTTATCTGTTCTCATTTGGTCAAACTGGTATTTTGTTCAGGTCTATATGATTCCAGTTATAATTTTGCTGTCAGTGATTCCAAGCCTTCACCTTGCTCACCACACCCTAGGAATAAGGGGAAAAAAGGATAGCAGGAGTAGGAAACCGTTCCTTAGATTTGGTAACTTTTTAAAAGGGTTAGAGCAACTTTTCCTTTTGATTGCTTCCGGCTACAGTAACTCCCGATACATTAATATCATCTTACTGCACCTAAAATCTGTTGAAATGTGTGTATCACATTATCTATAAGCTTTAGGTGTTAGAGAAGTGGTACTTCTATACACTACTCCCTCTGTTCCATTTTATGTGGCACTATTTTTTTTTTAGTCTATTTAAAAAAATGACATCTTTCTATGTTTGGAAACAATTTAACTTTAACTTTCCATTTTACCCTTAATGACATGATTTTATAGCCACACGAATCCATGGCATGTTGCTACAAGTTGTGAAAGTCTTTCTTTCTTTCTTAAACCCCTCGTCCAGTTAAACACGTAAAATGAGGAGGGAGTATTACTTATTTTTTAGGTCTGCAATAAAATCAGATATAGAGAAGATGTTGAAACTTCAAAGTTGTATTGGATTATTCATTTGTCACAAATTGCTTAAACAGTTGTAGCTAAAGTTGAAAGGTCTTGCAAAAGGTTGGTAGTACACGGTGTATAGAAAATTGAAGTATTTTATGATTAACTTTGCTGCTGTGTTGACAAAGTATATTTACGTGTTCATAAACAACTATTCTAAACGAGGTAAAAGTTAAAAAAAAGTTCCACAGATGTCTCTGGCCCTAACAACATGTGCACATGCTGCTTCTGCGAGACCATGGCACTCTACATTGTAGTCCTCCTAACTTTACTATTCTGCTTTTGTATTTGTATTATCTAACATGGGATTGTACATAAAGGACATATTTTATGATGAAATATTGCAGCTAATATTCTCTTGATTTATTTTAAAAGGAGATGGTTTCCAGTTGCTGTATTTACTTTAGAACTGCATCCTTTGTGATGGATAGGCTTGCAAATTACAATAAGGTTATGTTTCTTATGCTGTTGCTTGTTTAGTATACTTCTAAGAAACAAGAGATGTTATCTTTAAATTTCCGTTAAGATGTAGTCCTGTGTATATACCTTTCCTGCATGCCATGCTTATGTCTTGGCTTTGATGAAGTTAAAAAATGTGCAGTTGATGACAATATGGGTATCTACTTGCTAGTTCTTTTGTGGAAAATCATGTTAGCAACTATATGAAATGGTTTCTTGGTACATAGATATAGAAGGGGTATGTATGTCTATATCCTCTGACATGCAGGATGCAATGACTGTTCTACATATTTGCTTACATTTTCCTCCAAAGTGAGGTGTAGCTTCTATAAACTACTGGCTTCAAAGGAAAACTTTCTCTGTGTGTGCATGGTTGAGCGTAATCATTGTAATTTAAATGTCATTCTTCTATTGTGTAGAGTCTCATGTATGTGATATTTTCCTGTTTCTTGAGGTACTTATCAATTTTTGTTTTAATATGCAGCTTCATCTTTCTTTTTGTCCCATGGTATCTTCTGGAGAAGCCTGAAATGGAAGTCTCACAGATCCAATTCAATTTTTGGATTTTCTTTTCAAATGCACTATGTGCACTTGCTTTGAATTTCTCAATTTTCTTGGTGATTGGTAGAACTGGTGCTGTAACCATTCGAGTGGCTGGTGTGTTGAAGGATTGGATATTAATTGCGCTTTCAACTTTAATTTTTCCAGAGTCAACGATAACCACACTTAACATTACAGGCTATGCAGTAGGTAAGCTTAATATTCCTTATTTGTGGGAACTTTATGCTAAGAAACAACATATTGATACTTATTAAAAGGAAAAGAATGGCATATTGATGATTTTTTTTTGTTTTTGTTTTAGCATTATGTGGTGTCGTGATGTATAACNCTAAAACAAAAACAAAACGAATGGCATATTGATGAAATTTTATTTTTGTTTTAGCATTATGTGGTGTCGTGATGTATAACTATTTGAAAATCAAGGACGTTCGAGCATCCCAGCTTCCTGTAGATAATATTATAGACCGAACAGCTAAGGTCAGATTTCGTGACTCTCAAGAATGACTTCCAGACTATTGCTTCTTTTTCAGTTTTTGTATTACAACTTTTTTGTTCATTGTTTTCCTGGGTGTTTCCAAATTTCCCAAGAGGAACATAAATGTATTTGCATGCTTCTTTTTGTTTCTTGGAGAGCTGGTGTTTCTTGTTATAATTATCAAATTCAAAATACAAAACAATTATCATACTTATATATTTAAGCTATAGAGTTTGCTTAGAGAAAAGCCACATTATAATTTTCATATGCAAGAGATGCTTATAAACACTTAATGCAAGCATTGAATAAGCATATTTTACATCTTCTGCCTATCCAATTTTTGTTTCCCGTACTATTATAACTAATCTAATTTGCTTTGTGCTCATCATAGTCAAAAAATAAAACTGAAAAGGAATATATCTTATTAAGTCACATGCACCTAAGTGTGCTGTAGCGTTCAATGGGTGAAAACCATCAGAGACCAGTGTTTAAATTCCAGTATAGTCAAAACATTAGTTGATTTCTTCAAATCTGCCTAAGCCTTGATGGACCAGTGGAATAGTCGAGGTGAGTGCAGGTAAAAAGAAAGAGACATGATTGCTTAATTGGCTGTGAAAGTTAATGCCTTTGTAAATCATGAAAGATTCGTCTTTCATATGATTTTTCTTGGAATGGTTGTTGTATAGTTAACTCAGATAAAAGTTTACCTTGCCTGCATTTTGCCTTTTACAGGAGCTTAAGATGGAGAAGAAGTCATCTGATCTGCACTTGCCAGATGATAATGCTATTCTTGGGGGAAGAGGTACAAACAATGGTTCTTCAGATTCAACAGTGGATGAGGAAGCTCCCTTCATACCATCAACTAGAATCTCTCATCTTGGGCGAAGTAACCTCTCAACATAAGCACTATTAGTTCCTCGAAATGTCAATTTTTGGTGCAGTTTCAGTTACTAGAATTATAGAACAAGCAAGATTGAAGAGAGCAGGTCTTGTGTATACATCCTCCACCATTTCGCTAAGAGTTGCATTTCTTTGCAAAATGGTTAGTGCTATCAAACCCTATAAGGTCATGTTTTGTAATATTTTAGGGCTATTGACGTTCAAGAACTATTATTCTTTTATTCACATATGCATATTATCATCATACATGCAATTGCATCGTGCCTTGGCAACCTAGATTCTGAAAGTTTTTCAGCTGAAAAGTCTGTTGTCATTAGAGAGAAATATCATCGTTCACCCAAAATTGTTACTGTCATAGAAGACAGTCACTAAGCGGCTGGTTTGAGAAAAAGACTGTTGTCTTCATATTTAATTTAGTAGTATTATTTTAGTCTATCCTAAGTTAATTTCTACTAATTCCTGTTCTATTTTTTCTTTTCTGTCTCTATTGTTGCTTAAAAAATCAAATTTCATTTTGATTTTCCCTTTTATTTTAGTTGGCTCGTATTGGTCATGCCTGTCCATAAATGCAATATCCCGTCGTTGTCTAGCTCGGTGTTCCTTCGCATTCCCCGTGGCACTAATCAACTAGTAGAGTTGAATAGAACCAATTTTTGTTACAATATGTCAAAATCTGACAATTCCGAATTGAATTTGATTGTAAATGAATTTTAAACAATTCAACCGAATTAAATCTGACCCAAATATTCTGTTTTTACTTTTTATTGTAAGTGTCCTTGAAAGTTAACCATCATCACAAAAGAAACAATGTGGACGGTGAAATTTTACATCAGCAGATTTATTAGGGCTCGACGTTTCAACAACTTTACTTGCAAATAATCATTAGTTCATTTACAATTTTTTGTTTACAAATTTTGGGAAAGAATTTGAACTTCACGTTGGCATAGTTATGCTAAATTGAACTAGTGATTTGAAGCGTATTTCAACTTCAAACACCTTTTTTCCCAAGTTTCATTCACAAATTTTCAATTTCTTTTCGGAAAAAATTATACCTATCCAAATAGAATTACAACTTTCATAACTCTTTTTGACTTCAAACAATCTTTTTTTTTCCAGCGTCAACTCGATCAGACACTTCACTGTCCAGTTCTAGCTTCAAATGTTTGTGGGCTTTTCGCTTACTGTAGTAATGCTCGGTCCAAAATTTCCCAAGCCTGTACTACACTTCCCTGGTTGGGAAAAGACAAGGAACAGTATGTATATAGATGAGGCTGAAAACCATCATCTTATCCACCACCATACTCATCATCAAAGTCTAAGAAACGCAACTATTTTTGATATGTGCTTAACTACTCATGTTGTTTAATTTGTCTATTATACATTATAGCTGCAACTAACTGCGGTAGAAAAAGCAGAAGCTTCTTTTCCAATGGAGACACAATTGTGGTGCAATAAAACGCACAATTGTATTGGTACGTAACCCACTCGAAACCTTGCACTTTCTTTGGATTCGGTCTCATTCCTCTTACTGTTTTTACGTAGCTACACAGTGACACATTACCTCTTTTCTGCGTTATTAATGGTGGAACACAAAATATTTTGATTGCTTTACTTCTATGGTAGGGATTGAGACAACGAGACTCCAAAATCAACTTCCATTTTTACATAGAAGGTGGCAGCAATCATTTTTCCAGCCGTTTAATACCTCATTTTCCCACAGTGTAACTTTTCGAAGCATTCACCTCAATGCAACAAAGGTATATTTGTCTTCCCGTCGTATTAGAAACCGATTAGAGAACTTGGTACATACCTCAATCTCAATACAACTAGTTTAATTTCTAATTCCTCACAAGAGTTTATTTTTGGCCATAAAAAAGATTTCTTTTTTCGAAAATTTGTTTACTTTTTTTCGAAATAAGTGTTTGGCCATAAAATTTTCGATTTTCGCTTGAAGATGAATTTTTCGAAAATTTGAAAAATTTCAAAAAATTAAATTTCAAAATTCACTTTAGATCACTCACAAAAATTTAAAAACAGCACAATCATATATTCATGTCCAAACACAACTCTAATATTCAAATGTTCATTTTCATTTGAATTCTTTTTTCACTTTATTCCGAAATTTTACAATTCTTATGTCCAAACACCCACTTATGATTTAGTACATACGACCGGTTCATATTATCTGTCTTTTAAGATTTTTGCGTACCTCTTAAGAAAGATATTTTATTGCTTTACTTATAGTAATTTTTATCTAAATCACCCGATATCTCTTTTTTTAAATGTATGACGTATCTGTGATCGAGGAATAAGGGTGAATCTAACACACACACACACCAAAAAGAAAAAGTATTTATTGTAGTTCTAAACCATCAAATATACAAATTCAGTTTGGCAGAACAAGTAACATGGACAGGAGGGAGTATTCAGTTTGAATTATAATTCCAAAACTGAATATTCTACTGTTTTTGTGTCTAAACTAATTCAGACATTGGCTACAAGAAGGAGAAGAGCAAACATACAGACAGAGACTTATGTGCTAATGGAACCTGGGAAGCCCGAGGAGTTTGTAACAGAGGAAGAATTAAGGGACAGGTTAAAAGGTTGGCTAGAAAATTGGCCAGGCAATGAGTTACCAATGGATCTTGCAAGATTTGAAGAAATTGATGATGCAGTTCAATACCTAGTAAAATCTGTTTGTGAACTTGAAATTGATGGAGATGTGGGTTCCATTCAGTGGTACGAAGTTCGTTTGCAACAAAACATGGAATAGTGACTAAAATCAAGCTTAAGCTACTTGCTGCTTCTTGTCATTACTTGTCGGATTAGAATGTAATTAGTTGTTGCTATCTATTAAAACATAATACTACTTCTCTCGTCTTATTCTATCCACTTAATTATTTACAAAATCTATAGTAATAATTTAGTCATCATCATGTGTTCTAGTGCTTGTATTCCTGGATGGATGTACGTTATGGATAGTAGATTAGGTATACTCACTACTTTCGAATTGAACTATATGGCGTCGTTTGGTAGGATGTATTAGAGAAATAATGCATGTATTAGCGTTAATCCTTTATTTGATACACCTTTTCAATCTATGTATTAGTTATACACCATATTTGGTACTATCCTATGTAATATTCTTGAAATTAGCAATACCAATGCTATTAATACACGCATAAGCATGGTTAAAGATAAAATTACCTTTGAAGTCCCTCAAAGCTAAAGAATGTGGAGGGCAGTTCTGTAAACAAATAACTTTAAAAAAAAATATACAATGCATATCATTTTTAATACATTACACCAAACAGTCATAAAAAATAATCTAGCATAACTAATACTCGCATTACTAATACACTTTATTCAGTACTATTTTATACACTCTACCAAACGACCCATATATATATATATATATATATATATATATATATATATATATA